CTAGAGGGAACTGGACTGGAGGGAACATACCTCAACCTAATTAAAGCTATATACAACAAACCCACAGCCAATATCATTCTAAATGGAGAAAAACTGGAAGCATTCCCATTAAAATCAGAAACCAGACAAGAATGTCCACTATCTCCACTCCTTTTCAATATAGTACTTGAAATGCTTGCTAGAGCAGTAAGACAGGAGAAGGAAATTAAAGGAGCACTAATGGAAAAGAAGAGGTCAAACTATCACTTTTTGCAGACGATATGATACTATGCCTAAAAGATCCCAAAAGTTCCACCAGAAAACTCCTAGAACTGATCAACACCTTCAGTATAGTGGCAGATGATAAAATCAATCTACAAAAATCAATAGCCTTTCTATATACCAATAAGCAATTGGAGAAAGAATACAGGGAAATCTCCCATTCACAATTGCTACAAAAAAATTAAAATCTGATGAAAGACACTGGCAAAAAACACCAAAGATCTCGACAATGAAAATTTTAAATCATTAAAGGAAGAGATTGAGGAAGACACCAGGAGGTTCATGGATTGGAAGAATTAATATTGTTAAAATGACCATACTACCAAAAGCAATATATAGATTCAATGTAATCCCAATCAAAATCCCCATGACATACTTCACAGAATTAGAAAAATGCATCCTTAAATTCATATTGAGGCACGAAAGATCCCAGATAGCCAAAGCAACCCTGAGCACAAAGAGCAATGCTGAGGGGATTACCATACCAGATCTCAAAGTATATTACAGAGCCATAGTCAAAAACAGCATGGTACTGGTGCAAAAACAGACACATGGATCAATGGAACATCATTGAAGATCCAAACCTGAGTACACACAATTTCAGCCGCCTGTTATTTGACAAAGGTGCCAAAAAAACACAATGGAGGAAAGACAGCATCTTCAACAATTGGTGCTGGCAAAACTGGATCTCCACCTGTAGAAGAAACTAGATCCTTATCTTTCACCTTGCACAAAAGTCAACTCCAAATGGATCAAAGACCTCAATGTGAAACTGAAAACCCTGAAACTATTAGAAGAAAATATTGGCAGTAACTTATAGGATATAGGTATCAGAATGGATTTTCTAAATCAGACAGAAGTTGCTCAGGAATTAAGGTCAACAAGCAATGGGACCTCGGATGTCATTAAACTAAAAAACTTCTGTACAGCAAAAGAAACAATCAAAAAAGTGAAGAGAAAACCCAC